TCGCGGTCGGCAAGGCGAAATGACCTTTCAAAGAAAAGAGTTCGGATCTCCACCCCCCCTCCCCCGAAGGGTTATCCCACCTCTTTTGAGGATGTGCAATCTACATGTGGTATTGCCCCAGTCGTTCCTTATACATATGAACTCATGTCGCCCCAACCAAGCTTGCCCCCCCTTGTCATCTTCGCAATCGTTTATCACAACTGGTCCATTTGCACAACTACCTTGCGGAGCAACATCAGCGAAGTACACGGGCTCACGCTGTCGCTGGCCCGTGCTGGAATATTTGAAAACATGTTGGTTTAGAAAAAATGTCGAACTCGATTGCCACGAAACGATGGAATCGACACGTGGCTCTGCAAATATTGCTTGTTTAAAACAGTTTTCGGGCGCAACCTCGCGAATCCACGCGGCAACCGTATATTTGCTCTTGTTTGTCACACGAAAAACGTTTTACCGAGTGCATCAAAACGGACCTCACGCGCGCGCGTGCCTAAATCATTCGGGCGCCCTTGCGCGTGCTGGGGTGGGGGGGTGGGGCGCGAGGTCCCTATCGCATGAAAGCGCGCGGGCCATTCGCGCCCGTCGGCCGCCCGCACGTCTCGAAATCCCGCCACAATCTTCATCGCCGACGCGCGGGCGACATCGTCGTCGCTGTCGTGGTCAGCATGAACGCCGTCGTTGGCCTCGGCGCCATCTTCGCCCCCCCCGCCAACGCCATGATCATGGTCGCGACTGCCGCTGCCAACATCGCCGCGATGCCGCGCCCGCCCGAACCACCGACTCGCGCTGAAATGCCCGCGCGTCTGCGCGGCCTGCGAGACGCGTTGGGGCGCGCCGGGGCGCGCCCAGCCGTCGGCGCCACCGCGGCCGCGTCGGTCGCGCAGGTCAGGCTGGCCGCTCTGCGCGCGAGCCCACGCGTCGCGGCCGCAGCACTGCGCCAGCCAGCGGCGAGCAGTCGGCGCAATCGCCGCCGCGTGGGTTTTTCAAACCGAATTGCGGTCGCGCGGGTAGGATGATGGCTCCGCTGACATCAACTCACCGTGAACATACGTTAATTGTACCACATCGGACGCGCCACATCTATTGCGCCACATAGCCCACGACATAAATATTTTGCACCACAGAATTGAACCACGCAGCTTGTATCACGTAGCACCCAACACATACATTACCCTTTCAAAGCAAAAACTAGGATCACCCCCCACCCCCAGGGCAATCCGCTGCCCCGCGGGGGGCGGAATTTACACATGATTATGCCCCATCGTTCGCTCTAAATATGAGCTCGTATCATCCCAGCCCGGCCAGGCTCCGTCCCCACATCCTCGTCGAAAATACCACGCGCGCGATGGTTGTAAAAAAAACAGTTTTCAAAACCCCATTGCGCAAAACGAGACGAAGTGCACGCGCGCGCGTCGTCGCGCGCGCATGCCGAAATCCTCCAGAACCATTTTGGTGTGGCAAAGACAAAACCGAGTGTCCCGAACACGCATGAAACCACATGGTGTGTGCAACGTTTTCAACATATCAAAAAAAGCGGCGCGACCCCGGCCACGTCAAACCCCGCGAGCCACTCGCGCCCGCTGGCAGCGCGCGCACGTCGAAATCCACCCAACACCTTCATCGCCCACGCGCGGGCGCCATCGTCGCCATCGGCGCCGTCATTGGCCTTGCCGTCGCCATTGTCATCTTCGCCCCCCGCAGTCGCTACCATCGTCGCCGCGTCTGCCATCGTCGACGTCGCTGTGGCACCGCGCCAGCCCGAGCCGCCGACTCGCGACGAAGTGCCCGCGCGTCGGCCGCCTCGTCTGCCATCGTCGACGTCGCTGTGACACCGCGCCAGCCCGAGCCGCCGACTCGCGACGAAATGCCCGCGCGTCGGCGCGGCCGGCGAGACGCGCTCGGACGCGACCGGGCGCCAGCGCCACCGCGGCCGCGACGGCCTCGCCAGACAGGCTGGCCGGTCGCTCTACGCGCGAGCCCGCGCGCGCTGGCGCGACCCGGCGGTGCGCCAGCCAGCGCCAAGCAGTCGTCGGAACCGCAGCCGCATGGGTTTTGCAAACCAAGTTGCGGGCGGGTTGGCGGGGCGTTTGCGCGCGCAGTGGAGTTGTCATCCTCAAGTTTGGCAATGTGAATAGAGCCGCGTAGGATTCCCCCAGATCAAAAGGAATTGGGGCCCGACCCCAACCCCCCCAGTTTGACCATCCACCCCGAAGATCAAATTCACGCATGATTCTGCCCCCTCGTCGTCCTGACCATGATTTCGCACCGCCCTAGCCAAGCCGCCATCGACGCCCCCGCCACCCTCGCCAAATAATGACTCGCGCGCGCACTACTTCATCAAAGCTAATGAAGGTTCTAGAACCCCTAAGCAAAATGCAAAATCAGGTGCGCCCGCGCGCCCGCGTCGCCGCGCGCGCGGGCGGGAAAGTTCTGCAAACACTAAGCATCTCAAGAATTTCAAATGCGAGCGCCCCTAAACCCATCGCGCATAGATTTACAA